CCACTGAATCATGTCAATACTTACATGTGTAAAGATTAAATAATAAATGTTGAACATAGAAACGAGACAGGCATGTCACCTATATAATTCATTGCAGTCGGGTTTTTATTTGTAATGATACAGGGACACCATAGGAAGGAATCGGAAAAGTCTAAACAGAAAATTGCATCGGACATAAGTTTTGGAACTGATAATTATGTCAGTGAGTGAAACAACATCTTACATCGAATCGGCAATATTGCAGCCATATAATATCGTGTTATTTCCAATAGTTTTGTTCACTCCTGCCACCTTGTCTAAAATCTTAGGTTTCTGTTTCCAGCCTCAAACTCCATGTCGTCTGAATCTGAAGGTACCCGTGAAGGTCCGGGTTAGAGTGAACCATCACCTTACACCCGCGCCGCCAAGGACGCCAGGGGCAGCGCACTCCATTCTCCATTTCTTACGTCGCTTCCGTTGCTTCCGTCAGCCACGCACATGGTCAAAGGGCAGACACCTTTTCCCACAAATGCACAAATTGTGCTGATTGTGCATCTATATCTTAGAAGGTTGTCCTTCAACTCCCTCTTCAATTATAGAAGAAAGATATTGATGCGAGAACTATTGAAATTATGAATACTGAACGCAGTAAACAGAATCCTCACTGGCCCATGTCGACCAAGAGAGACGTTAAGTGAAAAATACTCGTGGATGAGCTAATAATGCTCATTATTCAGATGCAGACAAGAATCTGATTTGATTTGAAGGAAACAGAGATGAGGATGTTGAACTTCTGCGAGTCCAACCCATGGAGCTGACTGGTCAGTCACAATTTACCATAAAATGCATTGGCGGATACAGAGGGGAAGGGGGGAGGTGGGTAGGGTTCGAACCCCCTTGGAACAAACACACGCCACCACCCACCAGTACCCCCGGCCACCACACCAAACTACCAAGACTACCATTTGTGACACTTCCACGTCACAATGTATAAAATGTGAAACAGCTTAAGTCTGGGCTAGTACAAGCAGCCGCACATACACATACACATGCATGCACGTCGTCATATGAGCGAAATATTCTCATGCAGGACATTAAACCCAATTTCACCTCACCTCGGCTCACCTAATCTATTCCACAAAATAGAATGTTCTTGGTGGAAGACTTGAAGTTGCCTACGATGTCTGACCAGACACTGTAAGCGGGACAACTGAGGATTCCCTGATACTGATGACGATAACTTGGTGATTTTACGTGCGTTTACGAAATAAAGCGTATTTCGCAAGCGACTAACAGAGCCACATCCTCGATAATTTCTAGGGTATACGTTACGATAACTCTGCACTATACCCTGAATGCATCCACAGCTTGGGGCGATGATTTTCTACCTCCCTTGGATGGCTTTTTATCCATTCAGGTGCCTACGCTGGGAAGTTGAGCGTACCAATCACAACTCACTTTCGCTTCTTAAATTATCTTACCGTTTACGCTTGGCAACACAATTGATGCAGAGGTACTGTGAAAGAAGTAGAAGGAGTTCTGTCATATATTTTGTTAAAGTTTCAGATCTATCAATTTGTCTTTATTATTTCCCCCAAAATCTGAACGAACAAACTTTCGCGACTGCGACCGCTATCCTTGTTAACGCTGGCAAGCTCAGTTGTAACGGCGGCTTAGCTGATTGGCTACTGTGAGAATGCGGAGCCAGCCAAGGGGGGGAATAAAATCATCGCCCAAAGCCGTGGATGCATCCAGAGTATAGTGGAGAGTTATCATAACGTATACCCTGGACATTATCGAGGATGACAGAGACAGGGCGCGGATCATGTGACAAGGAAGACGGATACAGCCAATGATTGATTCACTGGGTTTAGTTTTACGCCGCATGCAGCAATATTACAGCTATATGGCGGCGGACTTTAAATAATCGGGGCTGGACCAGACACTCCAGTCATCAACAGCATGAGCATCGATCTGCGCAATTGGGAACCGATGACATATGTCAACCGAGTCAGTGAGCCTGACCACCCGATCCCGTTAGTCGCCTCTTACAAAGCATGGGTTGCTGAAGACCAATTCTAACCCGGATGTTCACGGGTAATACAGCCAATGACTACGTGCATTACATCCTGGCTTCCCAACCCGCTTTGACTGTAACGTCTCCCCAGCTACTGCACCCGCGTGGGCATTAACGTTTACATTACCTATATTGACCTATGGCGCTGCCATATGGGGCACAGTTTAGTTGCATTAACGCAGTTCAAAACCATGCCTGCAGATTATTCCTGGGAGTAGGATGTGAAACACCTGATTTATCAGTCAGAGGAGAGATAGGGTGGAGCCGTCCCTTCTGTAAGCCAAAAATGGAAATACTTAGGTTTTGGAATGAATTGAATTGTATGGCAGATTGTCAAGTGTCATTATGCAGTGGTCTCGACATTTTCCCAGAGCTTGGGTTAATTCTGTCTATAGCATACTTTCTAAATTGTAGCTTCCAGTTATCCTGTGATTGGATTCAATCTCTTGGCTAACAAGAATGGTTTAGAGAATTGTGGAATGATCGTTGAATAGGGTGAGTGAGTGAGTGAGTTTAGTTTTACGCCGCATTCAGCAGTATTCCAGCTATATCGAGTCTGGACCAGACAATCCAGTGATCAACAGCATGAGCATCGATCTGCGCAATTGGGAACCGATGACATGTGTCAACCAAGTCAGAGAAACTGACCACCCGATCCCGTTAGTCGCCTCTTACGACAAGCATAGTCGCCTTTTGTGGCAAGCATGGGTTGCTGAAGACCTATTCTACCCGAACGTACAGACTTTTCAAAAGTTCTCTGGTGGCTGAACCGTACGTTACACGGTTAATTCCCAGATCCCATGGCAGTGCTCTGGCTAAGCTGCGCTGTAGTTATCTCCCCTTAGAAGTTAAACGTGGTAGGTATACTCGGCCTAAGACACCTCTGGAACATCGGTTATGCAAGTTCTGTGACTCCCACTCAGTGGCGGGTGAGACTCATTTTTTTGATCAGTTGCCCATTCTATTCAGATTTGCGTTACAGTTTTCTCGTGGAGTTGAATCAGCTAGACGTTCTCGCTGCTGCCTGCCGTTCAGCAGTCTGTTTATGCTGCAACACACTGACTGACTGACTGACTGAGTTTAGTTTTACGCCGCTTTTAGCAATATTCCAGCAATATCACGGCGGGGGACACCAGAAATGGGCTTCACACAGCAATGGTGGAACCTCTTGCCGCTCTTGTCAACCGTATGTATAGGAGGAGACTATATATCTCTTAGTCCGGGGGTGGGGTGGGTGTGGGTGTGGGTCTGGGTGGGTGGTTGTGAGTGTAGGTGGGTGTGTGGGTGAGTGAGTTTGACGCATGCATGAATGTACGTAAGTATGTGTGCAGGAATCGGTATGATGTTGCATGTGTGATTTATGTGAAATATACTTGAATCAATCCTAAATGTTTTACTGTGATATGTGTCTCATAGGCCAAATGGCCGGATGTTATGTAAACGTTTTAATCGTGTCATCATGCACTGCTTAATAGCATGTGACACAATATAATAATACAATATTCTTCTTCTTCTTCATTAAATAACTACAAGGTTAGGCACAACGTCAGCCGCCCACCCCAATCTCCAATATTTTGTCACTGAAACATTGGCACCATTTCCCCTGTGTTTCGTAGATCGATGCTCATTAAGTCCAGACTCGATTATTTACAGGCCATCTTTGTATGCCTAGATTATTTGTGGGGTGTTTAGAAACAAAACACCAAATTGATATGCTTAGTTGGAAAATAGACGCAAAGTGTTCTGTGGAGTCCATGTTCTGTGAAGTCATTTTTCAGTCAGTCAGTAATCCAATTAAAACCTCGCACGCTACAAACACGTTAGTGAGTGAGTGAGTGAGTGAGTGAGTGAGTATAGTTTTACGCCGCTTTAAGCAATATTCCAGCAATATCACGTCGGGGGACACCAGAAATGGGCTTCACACATAGTACCCATGTGGGGAATCGAACCCGGGTCTTCGGCGTGACGAGCGAACACCGTAACCACTAGGCTACCCCACCGCCCTTACTCCACAAACACGTGAGACACCAATCAAACTACCAGTACAACTATCAGCATTACATAAGGATAATACGTCCACGCAAAACCAGATCGTGTTCATGTTTAGAGATAAGTGTTTCAAGGATTTTTCCCCGAGTATCTGAGACGCTTTGTTCATATAATGAGGAAAATCCGCATAGAGAAATCTACAGCTTGCGCCACCCTCTACAGTATTCATTGTTAGATAAGGTTAACAGCATGTAATGCGGGCGATACATATTGTTCCGGATTGGTGAAAGTATACCCGGAGACGCAGAAAAAGGACCTACTGTTAAGCTTAAAACCCCCGGATAAGATGATGTTTCTATTAATAGCCATTTTGACTTTACCACAAAACGTTGACGCTTTTTTCCCCGTCTGTCACTCAGTAACGGTGACATGCTTCTCGCATGTTGAAAGACATAACCCTTAGGATTTCAGGCAATAAAAAATCAATAGTTGTGACACATTTTATTGAAAATCCACCACAATTTTTAATATTATACTACAACACATTCAAACACAAAGTTAGATGTCATACATGACATCATTTGAAACCTATACGAGGGGCGTCTCAAAAGTAGTCGGCCTCACCTAGAAAAATACAAATGATACAAATGCAGCTGTTTCATGTTTTAATTTTACTACACATTATCTGTCAACCTCAAGCAAATTGTATTTGCCATGTTCCAGCCTCACGATGGTTGAGTCCCATCCGAGATCCGAACCCACACCCTCGGAGTCAGGCACCTAATCGCCAGCACACAAAGTCACACGCCTAGACCGCTCAGCCACCGCGGCTTCCAAAAGATGGAAGTCGGACAACTGGTAGTCTAGACTGCGGACTTTGTGTACCCCTCTGATAAGTGTTGATTGGCACGGCTCCAACGGCCGAAAGCTATGAAATACAACAATGCCATTTTAGAAAGTCATCAAATGTAACATATGTTATATTTGGGATTACACTTTCTTAGTCAAGTACAGATTCTAGTACTTTTTGGGTTGAGCCCCAGACAGAAAAGTTTGCATTTGGAAGGTTTGTCAATGATCGGTTATGTTTGTAAACATGTCAACATTACATACATTGAAACAACATTGTTTCGAATTGTTCCTGTGTTGAACCTAGGATAACTCGAAGTATTTTCCTCATTCCTCAAACTTCGACACAAGTTGTTGACCGTATTCACATTATGTTTTTTTTGCACTTTAAGCACCATGGAATGTTTCGGCAGAAATTCGACTGTGATTATTTCTTTCTCGAATTACTAGTTCTTTGTTGCCCGACAATTTAATTTCCAGATTACGACTCCAAGTTCGCGTCTGAAGTTGGTGCTACAGAAGCTGTATATGAAAGGATTAGAGGCACTGTTGATGAAAAACGACCTGATGAACAGGTTGAACGCAGCCAATCCAAACCCTTGGATTTCTTCAAAGATATATTTGTTCACCGCCAGTGTCACCATCAGAGTCAAGTGTGGCAGAAAGCTCAACACAAACACGAGAGTGATAAGAAACAACATGAACAAAGTCCTCCGTTCACCTCCGTCTCTTCGGGGCGATGTGTGGAAATTCGCCGACTCAGCATCACAGGAGGCAGATACGTCTATACCCAGCCATGTCTTGTCTTTAGAACTGTGCTCTGGTTTCCTTTCTTGCCCTGTGCTGTTCGAAGCGTCCTCCTGGCTGGTCGATTGTTGGGCAATTGCATCGCATCTTCAGAGACATCCGATGGTTCCTGTTCTGATGAAGAGGTTGGAACTTCATCAGATTGGGTTGAGTTACTCACTTTATCACCATCTCCCTTTGGGATGAAGGACCATTCTGACAGTGCATCTTGCTCCGGAATCTTCGCTGCTTTATGACCTGCCTCCTTATTAGGCTGTAGATCACTATTAGGAACAGCATCGAAGGCACAAATATGGAAAAGTGTACCCCATTATACAGCCGTGGGAATGGGGAATCAACGTACTCATCAGAAATGGAACAGTCAGAACCATTGATGTTGACGATATCTAGAGGCACAGTTCTTGAGCCGTAGATAACATACGCTGGTAGTGATATAAAGAACGATAGAACAGTGCAAATTGTTACAGCTACCCGGGCAGTTCTTGTGCTCATCTGCTTTTGAAATGGCCTGCATACCCTTCTGTAACGATCTACTGCTACAACAAGCAGTATGAACCCCGACCCAAACGACGAGAACACGATGAATACGCGAACTACTTTACATAGAGCATATCGCCCAAAGGTGTAGTTATATCGCATGTCTGCTATTTCATTGGGTATACACACAACACAGTTCAGAAGATCAAACGCTGCAACTGATAGAATATACACCCGGGTTGTGTTTCGTTTCATCTTCACATGATACACATAAAAGACGAGGGCGTTCCCAATACATCCGACAATCATCAGAATGGCCAGGAACAAGATGGCGGGCACTACTTGTTGGGCGTACTGGTTGTCATAGAGACGGAGTTGAAGGTCGAGGTCAGGAGTATGGAGACTGTCGCTGTGGTTTGTCATTGTTTGAAGTATAGTTTGAACGTTTCTGTGGAAAGAAGACGAACTATAAACATGGTGTTGACAGTGGAGCTTATAACTTGTAAAATAAAGATTGCGTCCAATTTTATTTTAATCTCTTTGTGGAATATATCACAAACAACAGGTTTTAAACGACAAATCTAAACCTGTGAAGATCACGTCTTCAGCAACCCATGGTTATCGTAAAAGGCGACTGATTTGGTTGACACATTTCCTCGCATCCCAAATGCGTAGATAAATGCGCATGATGTTAATCACTGGATGGTCTGTTCCAGATTCGATTATATACAGATGCCGGCATAGCTGGGATATTGCCGCTGTTGCCAAGTGCGCCGTTAACAAACAAAAGACCATCGAGTAGGAATTAAATATGATATAGATGTTGGCAACTCTAGAGCTATTAGATGTCAAACGAAGCGAAGTTATTTTAAGTGGGGGTTCACCCTTATTGTTCTGGGGAGCTGGGGACCAATTTTGTACACACGTAGGAGGGGGTCAGCAGTTTTGTACATAAAATATCTTTAAAATTATGCTTAGAAATTATTGGAAGTTGAGGTGGGAGGTCATTGATTTTGTAGATGAAATGCAGGGGGGTCACTTGTGTTGTACATAAATTTAGGGGATTCACATTGTACATGCTTCTCCGGAATCATCATCACACACACACACATACACACACACACACACACACCCTACCCCACCCCATGAACGGTCCCCTGGTGATTAAGGAATTGTAGCCAGTTAACTAGTAGCCAAAAGTAACTTTCTGACGCAATAATACGCGCATCCAAGGAAAAAATGTGCAATGTCTATAGGTACAGTTTATGATGCATGGGCGTTGTTTGTTCGTTGCCGCAGTCCCCAATATTCCAGCTCTACGACGGCCGTCTGTACATAACCGAGTCTGAATCAGATGGATTGACATCAGAAGCATCAATCTACGAAACTGGGAAACGATGAAGTTGGTGGTCAACCAAGTCAGCGAAGCTGACCACCCGATCCCGTTAGCTGCCTCTTACGACAAGCGTGGGTTACTGAAGTCCAATTCAAGCCTGGCTCTTCACGGGTGTTTTCAGGAAAACTTTTGGGACTGACATTTTATTTTAAAGAGGCTTCTGCGCAAGTGCGGGCGATAGGGAAGCCTAGTGGTTAAAGCGTTCGGCCGTCACGCCGAAGACCCGGTTCGATTCCCCACATTGGCAAAATGTGTGAAGCTCATTTCTGGTGTCCCCGCCGTGATACTGCTGGAATATTGCTAAAAGCGGCGTAAAATCAAACTCACTCACTCTGCGCAAGTGCAATTTTGGATGGAGATGCCCTGTATTGTGAATAAATAATATCGAAGATCCATTATTAATGCACATGATGCAATATGCAGCATTTAATCCAAATGTTTAGTATGTTTATTCCTAAAGGAAAATATTCCATCTCACACTCGTGTGATAACATCTTATTTCGAAATATACCTTAACTCACCTTACCCTTCGTAGGGTGTGAAGCGTATCGTATCAATCCAGCAGTGAAATTCCAACAGGTAACTCCTCTGTCATTAGACGCACAACACTACGTAATGTGTCAGTATTGCTCCAACAATTACACCCGATTGCAAGGTCGGTAGGTTATTAGGTCCTTGTTGTCAATCAGATGCAGAGATAAGCTCACGTCTAAATCACGTGTAGAGGAAATAGCTGATTCGTGTAAATATTACGGTGTATTAAGCCACCCTGACACTTGTACTGACGTTATCCCTGCCCTGCCGAGCAATTCGTCGTGGCAATACGTGTAATTTAGATGGTGCGCCTGAAAGCCTGAAGCCCAGTTTGCGCACTGTTCGCGTCCTGTTTACGCATAAGTTACACACTTGGCACGCAATGCGTGACCGAAAATGGTGCAAACTGGCACGGATTGGCACGCTATCGCACGACTTTTTACACCTAGGTCAGGTATTGTTGGCGCATTGTTTACGTCCTCTGTACGGCATGGTACCAACGACGCGTATGGTTCCCGAATGGGCATGCATTGCCACAACCATTTCGTGAATGCTTGAAGCAGTCGTAGTTTTATTTGGTCCCGCTTTGTCCCGCTTGATGCCACGCCATATGGATGGCAGGCATCAGTATCAGTATGTCCAAACACATAGAAACACAGTATCCGAAACACAGGTGATAACAAAGATTACATTCGCACATCCTTTCATTCAGTCAAGACGAATGTTCTTTGAAATGGATATCAGGAGCTGATCCCGGGGTTTCTGTCCAGCACTATATGCAACACAAAGGTTCTTGAAGCGTTGTTGGTGATCTTTGGTTGCTTTCTTGAGACGCTTGGAGGGAGGTTGACCATTACAATTCCACATCACCTCATGCGATCAGTGACAATTCCCCACACAGACAGTTCCCCATCACCTCAGTGACAATTCCCCACACAGACAATTCCCCATCACCTCAGTGACAATTCCCCACACAGACAATTCCCCACCAGACAATTCCTCACACAGACAATTCCCCACACTGACAGTTACCCACACAGACAATTCCCCATCACCTCAGTGACAATTCCCCATCACATCAGTGACAATTACCCACACAGACAATTCCCTGTCCCCTCAATGTCAACTTTCCCCCTCCCCAGACAACTCCCCACACTGACAATTCCCACACAGACAATTCCCATCACCTTAATGACAATTCCCCACCACCTCAGTGACGATTCCCACACAGACAATTCCCCATCACCTCAGTGACAATTCCTCACACAGACAATTCCCCATCACCTCAGTGACAATTCACCACACAGACAATTCCCATCACCTCAGTGACAATTCCCTCACAGACAATTCCCTGTCCCCTCAATGTCAACTTTCCCCCTCCCCAGACAACTCCCCACACTGACAATTCCCACACAGACAATTCCCATCACCTTAATGACAATTCCCCACCACCTCAGTGACGATTCCCACACAGACAATTCCCCATCACCTCAGTGACAATTCTAACACAGACAATTCCCCATCACCTCAGTGACAATTCACCACACAGACAATTCCCCATCACCTCAGTGACAATTCCCCACACAGACAATTCCCCATCACCTCAGTGACAATTCCCCACACAGACAATTCCCCATCACCTCAGTGACAATTCCCCACACAGACAATTCCCCATCACCTCAGTGACAATTCCCCACACAGACAATTCCCCACCACCTCAGTGACAATTCACCACACAGACAATTCCCCATCACCTCAGTGACAATTCACCACACAGACAATTCCCCATCACCTCGGTGACAATTCCCCACACAGACAATTCCCCACCAGACAATTCCTCACACAGACAATTCCCCACACTGACAGTTACCCACACAGACAATTCCCCATCACCTCAGTGACAATTCCCCATCACATCAGTGACACCACCCCACACAGAAAATTCCCATCACCTCAGTGACAATTCCCTGTCCCCTCAATGTCAACTTCCCCTCCCCAGACAACTCCCCACACTGACAATTCCCACACAGACAATTCCCACCTCAGTACCTTAATGACAATTCCCCACCACCTCAGTGACGATTCCCACACAGACAATTCCTCATCACCTCAGTGACAATTTAACACAGACAATTCCCCATCACCTCAGTGACAATTCCCCACACATACACCCCCACCACCTCAGTGGCAATTCACCACACAGACAATTCCCCACCACCTCAGTGACACCACCACCACACAGACACTTCCCATCACCTCAGTGACAATTCCCACACAGACAATTCCCCACCACCTCAGTGGCAATTCACCACACAGACAATTCCCCATCACCTCAGTGACAATTCCCCACACAGACAATTCCCCATCACCTCAGTGACAATTCACCACACAGACAATTCCCATCACCTCAGTGACAATTCCCTCACAGACAATTCCCTGTCCCTCAATGTCAACTTTCCCCCTCCCCAGACAACTCCCCACACTGACAATTCCCACACAGACAATTCCCATCACCTTAATGACAATTCCCCACCACCTCAGTGACGATTCCCACACAGACAATTCCCCATCCATCACCTTAGTGACAATTCCCCACACAGACAATTCCCCATCACCTCAGTGACAATTCACCACACAGACAATTCCCCATCACCTCAGTGACAATTCCCCACACAGACAATTCCCCATCACCTCAGTGACAATTCCCCACACAGACAATTCCCCATCACCTCAGTGACAATTCCCCACACAGACAATTCCCCATCACCTCAGTGACAATTCCCCACACAGACAATTCCCCACCACCTCAGTGACAATTCACCACACAGACAATTCCCCATCACCTCAGTGACAATTCACCACACAGACAATTCCCCATCACCTCAGTGACAATTCCCCACCACCTCAGTGACAATTCCCCACACGGACAATTCCCTTCACCTCAGTGACAATTCACCACACAGACATTTCCCCACCACCTCGGTGACAATTCACCACACAGACAATTCCCCATCACCTCGGTGACAATTCACCACACAGACAATTCCCGCCCGCCCACTTCACGACAAGTTAGGAGGCGTGAACTTTACGCAATCTGTCGCGACCATATCGCACAAAGTTTGTCATCAGAGCGGGCCGGAAATTGACACGCTTTGATACGCACAGCCCGCAGTGTTTGCGAGTAGGTTGCGCGATGTTCACGACTGGTTCACGCAAGGGCAGTGGCACGAAGATAATGTGTACCAGAATTTTTGAACATTTCTAAATTTTGTTTGAGGTACTGGTACGCAGCGCCGCACAGTTTACGCAGACGTCACAACACTTTACGCCGAATATACTCATTGCCACGCAAAATTGCGTACGAGGAGCGGGAACAAGATTCGTGCCAGTCTCAGGGTGGCTTTAAGCATATCGAAACATACAACTCTGACATTATATAACAGCAATCTATAAACTATATTTCTGATTTGTTGCACCAATTAGTTTTACTTTTCGTTCGAATGTAGATCGTTGTCTTTCAGTTTAATGAGTTCATTGTCAGATTGATTAACTTGAAATTCACTTGGAATGGCGAATCTAATGCACAGATTAGTTAATCCCATCGCCCCTAACAAGTGAATACACATAATGCACAAATTAGTTAATCCCATCTCCCCTGACAAGTGAATACCGGCCCCTACTGCACAGATTAGTTAATCCCATCGCATCTTTTGTACTACAATTGAATGATGAGTAGGGAATTGTCCTACTGGTTACAAAACAGGTGAGGTGAGGTGAGGTGAGGTGAGGTGAAATTGGGTTTAACGTCGTGCTTGAGAATATTTCGCTCATATGACGACGTGCATGCGTGTGTATGTGTATGTGCGGCTGCTTGTACTAGCCCAGACTTAAGCTGGTTTTATAGTGCTAGCTCACTGAGATACCATGCCGCACTGAAGCAGGAATACCCCACTCAGACACATTATACTGACTCCGAGCCGACCAGTCCTTGTTGTACCCATTAATGCCGAGCGCCAGGCAGGGACCAACAAAGTACCATATTTTAACGTCTTTTTGGTATGACGCGGTCGGGGATCGAACCCGCGACCTTCCGCTCTCGGTACATGAGTATAACAAAGGAGTACATACAAAATGTACATCAGATGACTAAATGATACATCAATAAAAGTGTTCACAAACAATCTTAATGAACTTGGATACTTGGTAGATATTTTTACTTGAAAAAGGTTGACGGAACTTTGACAAATTTGGCCAGGAACTATAAGGTTCTTTCAACAACGATTTACGGGTGTCTGCAAAATAATTACATTTAAACAAATAGTGAAACTCATCTCCAATCAAATGTGAATCACATGAGTTACAAACTCTGTGTTGTTTTGGGGTATTTTGCCATCTCCCAGTTTCTATGGGAAGTTTATGGTTGCATTTTCTAAATTTTAGGATCGGTTTAGAAATATCATCTGAGAGAAGTAGGTATTGTTCAAATCTGGGAGAGCGCTTCAGAAATTTATAATATATTCCTTTAGAGCAATTTTGCATATCGCTAGTCCATGATTGCAAAATTGGTCTTTAAAATTGATTTAACATTTGAAATGATGAGGGTTGACAAAACATCAGGCAATCCACACTGACAGAGATGGGGAAATGTCCTGTGGGGAATTGTCCTAGTGGGGAATTGTCCTGATGGGGAAATTCCATACACTCGTTTGAAACCCCTTGTTTTGAAAACCTGAATTGATAAAAATGTCGGTAAGATTATTCTTAATGTGACTGGCACATTGTTGCGTGCATCGGGTCGTCAGGCTCGCTGACTTGGTTGACACATGTCATCGTATCTCAATTAAGTAAGTCAAAACTAATGCTGTTGATCACCGGATTGTATGGTCCCGAATCGATTATTTACAGACCGCCGCCATATAGTGCTGAGTCCAAGACGCAAACAAACAAACAGTCCGTGTGTAGTATTGCGATACAGAGAAGTGTGTAGTATTGCGATACAGAGAAGTGTGTAGTATTGCGATACAGAGAAGTGTGTAGTATTGCGATACAGAGAATCTCAGCCAAGTGTGTGTTTTGATATAAAATATAACTCCTGTGAAAGACGGATCTCGATTTATTGC